ACAGCACACAGTGCCATCTATTAACAGAATCCTCCACTGCCAGTGTGAAAACATTCCATGGAGAAACCATTTCATTTTAGCCCATAGAGTTGAGACACTGAATTTGACGGTTGCAAACCGTTTGAAAAGCCTTGCTAGAACATACATTTTGTCCTTTCTGCATATTTTCATCGTCTACTCATATTACGAGACACACTTTTCGTGTAAACATCAAATACAGGTAATGGAGCATGTAGAATCTCTTTCACGAGTATTCATTACGGCAAACGTGATAGCAAATAACAGCTGATTATTATCTAATAACTTTTCAAAATACCCCATGTCGACAAGTGACACACAACTCTGACGGATCTTTCACACTTCCTAACGATTTTTATTTAGAAAAGTTACTTCGCAGACAGGAACAAACGCTACAACCAAAATGGCTGCTTATGCTCATGACTACATTTCACAAGTCACGTAGGAACAAAACATGAATTATGTAGATAAGGATGGCGACGGTATCAGAAATCTAGAGGGTGTTGAACATGGCGCAGAGCGTTGGCGCATTGAAAAATGTCAACATAATCTCCCGCAATCTTTATGGGCATTTTGCTCATGTTCTGCAATGCTTTCTAGGTCTTTTATTTTGTGATTTATTACTAGTATTCGATATGCTGCTTGCTACTCGTCCGAACTATCAACATTGGAGCTGTTTACAGCCTGGATGACAGCAACAGAGTCAGACGCAACATGCGCAGAAAATGAATTTCAGGTTCTGCAGTAACTCACTTCATCGTTGACATTTTTTGCTTCACCACCACTCCTCCTATCTAGTCTTCATGGAACAAAATAAGAGGAATAGTTTTCAACTATGTTTGGTATCAACAGTTCTGATTACGGCCCTGAGTTTTAACCCATTTCATCCTGATTCATTGTTGACAACATTATAGCCTTTAATACAAAGATGTCACTTTCGATCAGTTGTTCATTTGAGTAGACGTCAAAACTTAATGGATACTCATAAAAAAGGGCATACATATGTCAACGCGAGTACTTCTACAGAGCAATGTCAGAAGGTTCAACTTTCAAATAGCATGGCGAAGCAGCGAACTATGGACTAATGGTTGCATTACCGCCGTAAATCATGTTGCTATCCAGAAACCGCTCTCCCAAATTGCTGTTTTACTAGCTGTGCGAGTTACTATTAAGAGGCATAAACACCAGTGGCTGCATTTAAATTTTGTTTGGAACGGGGTCCATGCGTGAAATGATCTTGCAGGAAACTTAATATAAAACATATTTTTTAATAATTAGGTTGGATTTGAAAGATTATTTTCTGGAAAGAAAATTGAGCTAAGAACTTGTAGGCCATACGAATTAGGCTAAAAACAGTATAGAGGTTGACATTCTGAGGCGTCGTTTACGAGAAACCGTTGCAACGCACAGCTATCATATAAAAATCTGCAAAATGTCAAAAAAACCTGTAAGATGTCAGCTTGCAGACTAGGTAGTTTTTAGGGCCCCAAAAGTCATTCCACGTTTGCTCACTAGGATCATTGTGAACGTCCATCTATGGAGAAATCACTCCACTAAACTACACGCATTATTGGTTGCATAGCTTTGTGAGGCTGAGTGATCTGTGTCTGTAGTTTTTATCTCTGAGAAGAAAGTTGGTTGAATAGCAAGATCGCATCTGGATGATTATGTGTATAGGTCTGCATGTGTATAAAATCAGTGATATTTGCTGTATGAGGACGGGTTATTTATATGTTGCGTTTTCTGAAGAGAGGTTATATTCAAAGTTATAAATTACGAAAAACTGAGGAGAATTACGGGAAATCGTCACCGCGCTTGCGATGTGTGTAACAATAATTCTGTTAGCATGTATATGGCTTGTAATTCGACAGTGTATAGTGATATAATTATTTCTTATCTCTCTCATTTTTGAAATTCAGCAAATTTGTATATGTAATTTCCAGAATGGATAAGAAAAAGTGGATGCGCAACTAATTTGTAGCTTGGAATCTCAATTAAGTGTATTTGAGTCAAAAACTTAATGTAATTATCATCAACACATACAACATACAGCTTCGAACTCCAGTAATGCCATCTCAGAAGCTGATTTTACATCACATCAAAACAAAAAATTGACAACAAGCCTCACGACGTTTAGGCAACACGTACAACTAAGTGCTAAGTTAACTTCTTGTAGGAAAACCTACATTATGTCAGAAAAAAAACAGCATAATGTCAAGTCAAAAAAAAATCGGCATAATGTCACTTTTCAAGATACGTGATACCCGTGCAGGTAAGAACTAAACAACAGGTTTGCGATGAAACCCAAGATAGTTCTAGAGGAATATCACAGGTTCAGTATTTCATGGGATTTACCATGGAGTTCGATATTTATTGACATTGTAGACAGGACGTCTGTTATGATTAATTTAAAGGTTGGATAGAAATTTAGTTATACTGACGTAATAATCACTTTCCCTATAAAGGGTTAATTGATCATTTATGGCTTAGGTGCTTCATAAATCAGGAATTTGGACTTGCTAATTCCTAAGAATTGGTATCAGTCAGTTTTAGTAAGATCAGATGCTATGATAGCCAACCATGGCCAGCTGTTTCGTGCTTTTTGGCTACCCCGCATCATGGTCTAGGCTTTGGTCTCTCGGACAACGAACGAAATAAGACACCGCAAAGCACCATCTATCGGCTGAATCGACCACTGCGAAGCAGTGAGTCGCAGTCTACTGGTTGGAACTGTATTGATCTCGGTCCGCGAATTGGAAGCCCATCCACCACGTGACCGCTGGATGGAGATGATTGTAGCTGTGTAGTAGATGTGCTGTACTTGCATTGAGCAAAATAAAATAAGCATGCTTAACTTTAGTCCGTACGACCAAAGACAGCAGGGAGCAGCTGTCCATGGTTGGCTAATAAATGCTTAGGAAACATTCTGTATAGAACCGAACGGCCAAAGTTTTTATTTGATATCCCTGTCCATAACATCATTCTGGAATTAAATTAAGCTTTATTACTGTGTGCAGCCCTCTTAAAGCCGTTAATTCTAAAAAAATATATGACACATCATTTTGAAGCTCCTGACGAGTACTTTACAACCCTAGAATAGAAAGTCAATAACTTTACCTACTGCTAAATGGTGGTACATTTAATAATTATTACCTGAATATATTGACATTTAACTTGATAATTCGAATAAATACGTTGAGTTCAGTTTAGAAGATGCTGGAAATGGTTGCCATTAACTTCTTGACACAATAACAGCCGTTCCGTAATTTCGCGTCGAACATTTTCAAACATAGTAACATCGATATTTCTACAAATATTTGTTATTCTCAGCCGTATATTCAATATTGAAGCAGGTTCAGTTTCGTACACTTTTTGCTTCAAGTAGCCGCATAAAAAAAGCCTAAAGGTGTCAAATCTGGAGAGCAAGCGGGTCATTCCACAGGACCTCGACGGCCAATCCAACGATGGGAAAAATTGTATATAAATAATTCCTAACTTGTCTGTAGTAGTGTGGTGGAGCACCATCTTGCTGGAATACAATATCAGTACCGAATGTATTAGGATACGCTGCGACGATTTAGGTGATTAGAAGGTCAATAGTATTTTCCAGCATATCCAAATACAGTTCCTGGTTAAAGTTTGTTCGATGAATAGAGGCCCCACAATATGATTTCCCAATATCCCAGCTTAAACGTTCATTTTTTGTGGATATTGAGTATGAGTTTCCCGGGAGACGTGAGGATTGGTGTCACTCCAATAGCGACAATTTTCTCTATGCACATTACCGTTGAGAAAAAATGTACATTCATCACTAAAACAAATATTTTCGATATAGGTAGGATGCCGTGCAATGCTTTCCGTCATAGTCTCGCAGAATTCTGTTCTTCGATCAGGGTCATCTTCCGTTAGTTGATGTACCATTGGAATTTGTATGGGTGATACTTATTCTTTTTCAAAAGTCTCCATACAGTAGAAGGACAAACCTCATATACATTCGCGATGGGGGAAGTATACTGTTGGGGATTTACTATGATCTCACCAATTATTTGAGCTTGCTATTCTTCCGGGACGGTTGGATAACCTGGGGGCTTTACTATCAGTAGCTGTAAATTTAGATACAAGTTCCCTTAAATATTTTCTACAGATAGTTCGATTCGGGAAACGATCATTAAAAATCCTTTCGGTTTCGTGAAAGTTACGCGTCGCACCATAAATAAAAATCGCTTCGATTCATTCTTCCAATGGACGAGAATTGATCATGTTAAAAATAGTTCAAATAGTATCTAGCACTAAAACGGAAAACCGAATGAGAATATTTTAACTGTACAATGATGTTTGTTTTCGTACTGATATTCTTGTCACTGTCAACAAAAAATAACAAAACAAGATTCTATCGCTGTTGCTGTGGATCCGGCAGGCAATTACAATTATTTGTAGAGATATGCATGTTAGTGGGTTTGTGTTCAAGTAATTATTAAATGTACCCCCATTTTGTATTACGTAAAGGTATTGACTTTATATTCTAGGGTTATAAAGTACTCGTCAGGAGCTTCAAAATGATGTGCAACAAAACCCCCATTTTCATATAATTTTTTTTCCAAGATGGCGCCCCGCGGCCATCTTGACATTTTCATCTGTCAATTTTACACTAAAATATGGGATCCGTGCATCAATTTCATTACTCCAAGTTTTAATTTTTTTAACTGATCCGTTGAAAAAATCAAAAGAGAGGGGGACATTAAAGAAAACCACACATTATTTGAATATCCGAGTACACCGAATAATTGTCTACGACGCATTTTTTGAGAAAAGTTTTACGAGGGATGTCTTTTAAGTTTTGCATATAGAAACATAGGCCGCGCGGATCGAACGTCAGTACTGAATCTTAACCTCACTCTTTAGTAAACTTAAATTCAAAGTTTCACAACAATACGTGCAGTGTTCTCACTACAGTGAATTTTTAACACCAAGTCATTAGAAAAATGGAACTCAACCGAGAACATTTTCCAGCCATAATTTATCACAACTTTCAGAGACAATTACCGCAACAAGAATACCATGCTGAGTTACTGTCTGTTTTCGGCAACGAAGCGCCACATCAGTCGACAATTTCCCGTTGGTATGGAGAATTCAAACGTGGATGGGTGAGTCTTAGCGACGATTCCAGGGTGGGTGCACCAAAAACGGCAGTCACTCAGGAAAACGTCGATGCTGTGCGCAAACTCATCATTGAAGATAGACATGTGACATATCGCGAGATTGAGGCGTCCTTGAAGATCTCAAAGACCTCAATTCAAAAAAATTTACATGAAGAATTAGGAGTAAGAAAAATAGTTTCTCGTTGGATATCCCACCTGTTGACTGAAGAGCAGAAAGCAGCCATTGTTAATTGGTGTCAAAAAACGCTTGACCGTTTCAACTCCGGAAGCTCAAAAAATGGGTACAGCATTGTTAGTGGTGAGGAATCGTAGATTTACTGTTATGCACCAAAAAATAAACGACAGTCGGCTGTTTAGGTGTTCCAAGGTGAAGAAAAGCCAACAAAAGTCATCCGTTCTCGAAGTGTTTCGAAAAAGATGGTCGCGACATTTGTGTCAAAAGCGGGTCATATTGCAACAATTCCTCTTAATGAGCAAAGAACTGTTACTGTGGATTGGTATACCACCATTTGTTTGCCAAAAGTCATCACCGGGCTTCGAAAACCCGAAAGAAGAATCATCCTCCATCGAGACAATGCAAGCTCACACACAGCCCAAAAAAACACGGCAGTATTTAACGGAAGAAAACGTGGAATTATTGGACCATCCTCCATATAGTCTCGATCTAAGTCCTAACGATTTCTCTACTTTTCCGAAAATTAAAAACAGATTGCATGATCAAAGGTTCCAGTCACCAGAAGAAGCAGTTGACGCATTCAAAAATGCCGTTTTGGATCTGCCAGCAAACGAGTGGAATCAGTGCTTCGGAAATTGGTTCGAGCGCATGCAGATGTGTATTTATCTTCGTGGAGAATACTTCGAAAAACAATAAAGTCATTTAAAACTACCTACCGTGTTGTTTTATTTCCATATGCAAAACTTAAAAGACATCCCTCGTAACAGAGGTTCCAGCATGTCAAAATAGTAATTTGTCTATTATATCAAGTATACTATAGATAATGACCACCGAGGTTATTTGGAGGTCATGTTTGTACACTAAAATGACCTTCAAATAACCCTGAGAACATTTGAAGTGAATGTTTTTTTCGATATTCTGAAACATTTGTTCGAATCTGTTCCAAAAAAATGCATGGTTGGTCAGTTTCGCGGTATTTGTGTAGTGTGACAATAATTGAACCACTTATTACCCCATGTACGAAAATGAGTTCCGATGAATCTGCTGTCAAAAATGGAAGTTTATTTCCGCAATTTTCAGAAGTTATGATGTAGTATATCAGGCTCTACATGATTCTAGTGCCAGAAGTGGTGATTGCTATTTGTTTTTACAAATCTGACTTCCGAATAGCCTCTGAGATTCTTGCGCAGTTGCCGTTAGAACATTTTTGCAATGCGTGGTTTCTGAGTATTCGGGTTCTCGGATATGTAATAGATGCAACCTTAGATATTGTGTCCAGCTTTGATCCATTAGTGAAGTTGCATACCCTTGACGCAGGCCTTTGCATTTAGGTTACTGCGTTTCGATTCGAGATCTCAATTAAATATCTGAAACCTTGGCGTTGCCAGGCCTTCGTCATCATTATGGGTTATGGCCAGTTGTTATCAAATGCAACAGTGCCTGATTTAATAACGAGAAACAAACTACATCGAAGAATAATGCAACTCTTTACCAAAACCACGATATTTCATAGGAATTAGCATCTGTTTTCCAGTGGGCAATTTGCCAATCTAAGAACTGCCATGTTAACAGTCACGATTATGTAATTTAAGAAAGGCTCCCGCTGAGATTTCGCCCCCGACGGACTATTCATGAAGAACCTCGTTCTAATCTTTGCTTGGAACTTAAACGTCTGCTCGTTACCTAGCACGTTATCGTTGCTGCACGGAAATGTATCTTTTAATAAGAAAAAATAAAGTGATGTAAATACGTTAATAGATTGTTGGTATGATTAGATTTTCCTGGATAAGACGACGTAATTAGAGCAACACACATAAGAAAATCTTATTGTGGTTTCTTGCAAATATACAGTAATGGACAAAAGTATATAGACAAATTGATATTGTACTGTATTTCTTTTTTAACTTGTTTTATTAATACACCAACCTGTATACATAATTCGTTATAGCATAATACTCACTTATACATAAACAAATTCATTAGACTCCCTTCAATAAAAAATTAATTGAAAAAAACTGGAGCTATGAAGGACAAAAATATATAGACAAAGCAAAACACTTATAGAAGAAAGAAGCAAAGTTTATTGAATTACAGGAAACCAACCATGTTTGTGTTAATATTTTGCAGCATATCAATCATTATTATCAATCACCGCCTGGCATCGTCTCGGCATAGATTGTAGAAGTTTCTTGATATAAGATTCATCAATCTGTCTCCACTTTTGCTCTAAAGCGGCAAAAAGTTCATCCTTGTTTGAATTATTTTTATCTCGTATTTGCTTATCTAAGTATTCCCATAGATTTTCAATGGGGTTTATATCGGGACACTGTGAAGCCAATTGAGAACTGGTATTTTTTCAACCAGAAGGAATTTCTTTGCGAGATTTTAAGTGTGCTTGAGGTCATTATCTTGCTGGAAGGTTGTTCTTAAGGTCATACTGTCTTCCATATAGGATAACATGACATGCTTTAGTATGTCTGTGTATACAAACTTATCCATAATGCCACCTATTTATTCTTTGTAAAGGTCCCATCCCAAACCCCGAAAAGCACCCCCAAACCATAACAGACCCGCCTTCATGTTTGACAGTGGGCAAAGTGTACTTGGGGTTCAATCTTTGTCCTCTAGGACATCTAACGTAATAAACAGCATCTGATCCAAACATATTGAACTTGGATTCGTCAATGAAACATACCCTCTTCCAGTCACAGATGCTCCAATCAAGATGCAACCGTGCAAATTGTAATCGGTCCTTACGGTTTTTCCTCGAGATTAGCGGCTTCTTTCTCGGGCGACTTGCAAATAACTTCAATTCATTTATTCTTCTACTTATAGTTTTCGTAGAAACACTGACAATTCCATTTGTCTTGATTTCGGCTTTTATTTGTCTTGGGATTTTAAACGGATCTTTGGACGAAATTACTTTTATTAATCTAATTGATCTAGCATTTAGTTTTCTAGGCCTACCACTTCTCTTAGAGGCTTCCAAGATACCTTTTTGTTTATATTTGTTCGATATTGCCCAAACTGCTTTACGCTTCAGCTTCAGATTTTTGGCAATGTCGACTTGACGTTGACCATCCTTGTATGACTGAATGATCTTAGTTTTCACATCGAAAGAAATTTCTTAACCACGCGGCATGGTCTTAAAATCACTCAACTTATTCGACAATACTTGATGAACACAAACTAATCCTCTTCTGAAACGAAACTGTACTAAACTAATGTTGAAAAGAATTTGTCTACATATTTTTGTTCCTCATAAAAAAGTGCTTATATTCAGACTTGTATTTTGTTCATTGCAGATAATGTAAAAACAAGGAATTTAGTTTTTCTACTAATAACGCATTTGTTTATGGAGTAATGAAGTATGAATTCGGTTTCTAAAGGTATTTAGGTGAATATTCGTATTTGTCTATATACTTTTGCCCATTACTGTACGTATTTCGCCCAACGAATTCAGACTAGGTAGAAGAAGCCAGTCATGGATTTGTTTGTCTCTTACTCTAATAGTTTGTAGCGTGCAGTAGAGTGCACTTGACGTAAGTCAATTTTTGGACAGTTATGTCACTAAATTCGTATATTTAGTGTTATTTTTTGAAAATGCTAGTGGTAGCAGGTAATTGTGGATTTCAAGACATGGTACTTCTTACATAATTTGCAAAAAGAAGGTAGATGTTTCCATAAGTATGTATTATTGCTATCATGATGCAACGCTGTCACTTTGGTAGCTATTTTTAGACTAATGCGTCAAAAGTTCGCAATAAAATTACGCCGTTTTGGCACACATATAAGCATTTTCTAATCTATTTGAATTCGTTGATTCCGCCAAATATGTTATTACTTTCAGGGTTCAGATTAGAATTAACTGCTTTTATATCCGTGGTGTACTGTCAGTCCGAAAATACACGACCAATCGGTTTTTTATGCTGGGGCAGAACTTAAATTCCAGAGTTGTAGAGAATTTGTTGATGGATGGTATGATATAGTCCAAATGTTTATCAAAAGCTAAACAGGTGTCCTACTGAACTCCCAGATACTTGAATAAGGCGGAAAACTTTCCATTGTTAGTGTGAATATTAGCATCAGATATGGCAATGAGACTATATTTAGTTGTTATGATCATAGCGTTTGTTTTAGCCAAATTAACTTTAAAGAATTGAGTTTCATATAGTTATCGACCTTCTCCAAAGCGATATTCATCTTGTCAATAGCTGTATCCAGTACCACTGCCAGTACCGTACCACCAGCAAAAAGATGAGAGAGAGAGAGGTCCCACCCCTTGTTCCCTGCCATCTGAGTAATTAAAAAGACTAATCGTGAACTTTACCAGAAATTAAATACATTGCAAGTTTTGCTAATAATATAATAATAATAACCGTCTTTAAACTGTACAATTGCATACAGAAAAAGAAGAGTTGAACATGGTGGCGAAGTTCAGCAACATGCTACTCTTACACTTAACCACCCATGCAAAAAACCAAAGTTGTTAAGTGGCAGATATCAAACAAAATAAAGGACGTTCCACAAACGTTTGCTACATGTACTCAAAGGAAGTAATGAAAAAGCATTTAACAATATAGACAAGGGCAACCTATTTAAAGTATGGGTGCAAGCAGATAAGAGATTTGAGAGCTTTCTTGAAGCAATTTAAGGACATGTTTTTGAATTCAGGACTCAAAGCATTGTACGTATAAGACTGCAGCACTCCATCTGGAAGAACGCTGGAATAAAAGAGTGAATAGGTGTAGTTATCAAATTTGGAAATCTAAAATGTCTATCATGTATATGACGCCTAAAGATCAGCTTTTCTCTTAAACGTATCGGTTTTGACGTAAGTATTAGTTTATGAATGAATACGAGTTAATGATATTTGATAATATATCTTGTTTTCATCCAGTTTAATTCAATAAGACTACCATGATCGAAGCGCCTTAGTCCGCAGATGAACCTAACTAGCACAATTATTTTGCATCATTTGAATCCTATTTCTTGTTATAACATGTGGGCATATAAAATGGGCATAACCAAAGATGAGCACAATTTTTTCCTGAGTTTAAAATTGAAAATTGCTTTATTTGAATATAGTGATCTAAGTCTCAAGTAGGTTTTCTTTAAAAGAATCTAAGTCTGAAATCGATTATCACGACAAGAATGTTAACCTCATCAACCGGGTACAGCCTTTAAGATCCAATTTTAAAAAATAATTAACTTCTAATTTCTTCTCTTCTACGATCTGAACAAAAAATAACAGGCTCGATTCACCAGGACTTATTGACAGGTTGTGGTTATTCGAGAAGTCATACACTTTTTGAATATCATGGTTTATTGATTTATATGTATCTATCTATGGTCTCAAATGCTCTTTCAATGTCAAGAAACAGAAATAACAATACAAGAGTCATTCCCTGGATCGTTCTCACGAGAAAGTGCATGAAAATTCCCCGTCACCGTCAGTTGTCAGAATCTGGTTGCCCAGATACCAAACAAAGTCAGGGAGAAAGAAGGAAAGGGGAAAGGAAGGAAGGAAGGAGGGAGAGCAAAGAAAAAAGAAGTGCGTCAATTTGAGGGGTGCCTTGGCATTGCTAATTGGTATTCGGCAATTTTAAATTGATCCTAAAATTAATTTTGGGATTGGTTGTTGAAGAAAGATTATAATTTTGGTTGTACCTAAAGTCGCACGATTTAATTTTGTTAACAGTTCGAGTCGCGATCTTGTGTGCTTGCGAACTTGGTCGACTGTGCAGTCTACTGACTCGCGTAACAACGGGTTGTTATGCGATTCCGCTTGACTATAACGTTGCTGCGCTTGTTGTTTGATGTAGTCCCTTAGGTAAGAGATGTAAAGGTCTATGTGAAGGGTCTCGTTGGAGACATACCATAGGGCGTTAGTTTGTACGCAAGGTTCTGTTCTGCAAAACCTGCAGGCTACGCAAATGCGTTTTGGCGAGAAAACACCAAGCCGCACTTGCGTAAGTGATCGCTGGCCTAATAACCATCTTGTATAGCCGAACTTTGTTGATCAAACTTAATTTTGATGTTCTGCATAGCATAGGGTAGATTTGCCGAAACGAGGTTTGGAATTTAGCTTTTAACGCTTCAGTGTGCTTCTGCCAGGTCATTCCCTTGTCAAGATTGACACCGAGATACTTAGCAGAGCTTTCCCATGGTACCCGAGCTTCAATCACTGAAACTTCAGACGGGGCACCGCTACGTTTTTTAGTACAATAGATTGCCTGCATTTTTGAATGATTAATCTTGATCAGCCACCGATTCGCCCATTCCAATACCTCGTCCTCTGCACTTTGCAGCCTGTCGTGAACTAGATCCCCAGAGCACGACTGGACCACCAGGGCAGTGTCATCAGCATAGAGATAGATTTCATAGTTGCTGGGGCAACGTCATGAATAAAAAGTGAATAAAGTACTGGTCCAAGAACCGAACCCTGAGGGACACCAGCTTTGATGGGCCGTGTTGTCGACAGAAAGTTATTAATTTTGATCCGAAATTTCCTACTCTCGAGGAAGGATTTCAAAAGTTTTAGGAGCCAGAAGGGGAAGCCCATATGGATCAATTTATAGAGAAGGCCCTTGTGCCACACCTTGTCAAATGCCTTTGAGACATCGAGAAGAAAGATGCCAGTACTTTCGTTACGGGTGAACCCCCTGGTCACTGGTTCAACAAGCCTTATGGCCTGTAGCTCCGTACTATGCTCAGACCGAAAGCCAAATTGTACGTCAGGAATCATATTGTGGTCTGCCGAGAAATTTTCAAGGTGACGTAGAATCACCTTTTCAGCGAGCTTAGAAGGAGCTGACAGTAGAGTGGTAATTTGGGGAAATATCTAACCCACCTTCTTTGGAGTCATTATGACATCAGCGGGCATCCACGCCGTTGGGAAGTGCTGGGTCCTTAGCATGGCATTGATTATTGCCACGAGATGAGTTAAGGACTTCCGCGAAAGTAGCTTCAGCGCCTTATTAGTGATTCGATCCTCTCCAGGTGCTGTACGCATCTTGAGATCTTTAATATGACCTTGGACCTCTGATGGTGTGTAGTGCGGAGTCTCAGGAGATTCCGCTGATGTAGAATTCTATTCTACTACACTCAAGAATAACCTCCCAAATTTTGACTACTGTTGGCATTTGTCGATTTTCAGCAAAATAATATGTTACTATGTTCTCCATACCGTTGAACGTTTCATCACAAAGTTAACTTTGTCGATAGTGACGAGACTGATGGACGATGGTGATACTTTTCAACTTTTTCTTCCAATAGTGGCTCTGGGAGCATCTTTTTTAAAAATGTTCAGAAATGCAGTTTTTGAAAAGGTATCATGCCAAGTTTCTCTCAGTTATTCTACTTATTTCAAGATTTAACCCCCAGGTCAGGTCTTATCAAGGTCTTGTTCAGCGTTATGGGAGTTAGATGGTGGAAAATAATATATATCTAGACTTATACAGATAACCCAGCTTGTGGCCAGCAGCACCATGATACCATTATAGAGAAAATTCTCCACATAACATTTTTGACAGATTATGTTCATAACACACGAGCGTTTAACTCATTCATTGCCTGTGCTATTGTATCCCGAATTGGAATTCTTAACTTTGTGAGCTTTTAGACTTGCGTTAAAATTACCAAGAGCTCCATTATAGAGCGCGCAAATGTACACTGTAATTGGCGAGGGTTAATTTTAATACGACCCCTTTTCGGTCGACTCCGTTCGAACAAAGCTGACAATTCGCAGGCAATTTTATTAAAAGTAGACCTTTTGATTCCGCTAATTTCAGGATGGCATCCGAGCGTGATTGTTCTACCCTCGTCAGTGTATACTGAGAGAACATTTCATCCCCCCAGGACTGTAACTTGCCGATATCAGGCCAGCTTTGTTGTGGTTAAGTGTTTCGGTCTTTGTTTTTTAATTATTTGCATCAATCATTGAAAGATTAGTTGATCTATGAAATAGTGTCAATTCTACAATGTAATGAACACAATTTTTCAAGGACTTGTTGTATCATGGAGACAAACGAACGTTATAAGCTGCGCTCATCCGAAAAATCGTATATCGGTCACTGTCCTCGCACGATGGTACCTTGATAAGTGCTCACGAGACGGCGTGATGCGACTAGAAAGCTATCGGAGATATCTTACCAAACTTGATTGCACTTGAACGCCCGCAATTGGGGCACCAAGGCAGCTACGAGAACAAAGGAATAGTGGGGCGGGTAGGATTGAATTTGTCTCTAACCGTCGATCCTGAAAGTGGTTTGGGAGCTGGCGATGTAGCCTAATTGGCAAGGTCGGCTCCACGGAATGGAGGAGATGCAGGTTCGAATCCCGCCGGCGCCCATTTTTCCTTTTTCTAAAGTTGTTGTTTACTGAACGTTAGGAGGTACGAAATCTGGTAAATAGATTGAGGTTGGATTTTTAAGCAACTGCAACCATAATTGTCTGATTTTTACCATTGTTAGAGTGCTTCTTTGAGCTGCTATTAGTTTTAATTATTTGCAAGTTCAGTCCTTTCCTGCGGTTTCATGTCGTAATTTAGCGTTATTGAGAGACGCTAGTTTCATCCATAATTATCAATCGACATCAGTTTTATTCTGTGTCAATTGATCGAGATATTCTAGGAAAAGTCTTAATTGATTCCATTAGCTATCTAGACCCTAATTTGTTCTCCAAAATATGAAACGCGAGTACATTTAAGATGCCCATGGTCTCAGTAATTTCGTCCGTAGTCATTCCTTTATTAACCAAAACCATATCAGGTGAAATACATGAATCCTGCTACAAGATGTGCATAGAATTGACAACTCATGGTTCGTACCACCTAAGTTCAGTGTGCCGATGAAATACATACTATTGACTTCATTCTTTAAATTTTTCTCTATGCAAGTATTTAATCAGTGCATACTTTTGAAAATTTTCCATTTGTCACATGCCAAAATCACGTAACCTTCTTTTTACTATTTGAATTTCTCTTTATTAATGACAGAGTACCGATTCCTGGGCCAAACCCTTTTTAATGATTTTATTTTGGCAAATTGTTTATTGATTGTATAATTTCACACGTATTATATCTTTCTTTCTCAGCGACTCAGTATTGTGTTGAAATCTTTTGGACACTAATGTTATAGTATTTTATTAATGACTATCTCAGAAATTTCCTTATACAATATCGTTGGTCCCTCGTAGAGTTGGTTTTCTAGGGTCCACGCATTGGCAATCAGCAAAACACTCTGTGGTTTTTCCGTTATTTGTTTTCCTATCGAATACTCGTATACCTTCTTCAAGGCCACTCATTTAACTTTAGCTCATAGAGTTAGATATTTCGGTCAGTCATTTTCCTGCTGATATGGTGGTGTGTTTGTCGTTTGTTCAACTTCCAGATTCTGGGATATTAGGCCCCCAAACACCAGTTCATGGAGTAGTACCCCTTTATTTTGTACCTTACGTTTAGTTGTTTTGGTTTGGGTGCTACCCCGTCCATTTTCTTATGGGATTTTAACCCTCAGCGTAGGAAGGCATTGCGGTGAACTACCATTCACACTCCTCCAGCTTTGATTTGTAGCTGCCTTGTAACTATTTTGCAGCTGATATTGCTGGAAGCCACCCCTCCCCCTTGACACATTTTCTAAGAAAAGATAGTATGTGTTCTTCAACCCGTTGTAAAAAGATTAGAATTTTTCAGATCAACTTGAAGCTGCGCATATATTTGTAGGCATTGTCTAGAAGTGTGGCAAAGCAATATGGTACCAGATATTGCGATAGTGAAAACAGCAATAGAAGAGACCTGAGACTAAGCCTAGACCATGCTGAGGAGGTGCCAAATAGCAAAAAACAGCTGTCCATGATTGGCCGTCTGTGGTCGGTCGAACAAAAGTTTCATTACTAGTTTGTTCAATGGCCAAAGTGGTGACTCGGCTGTTAAATGCGAACTGGGAGATAGTTCCAACAGACAGCTTACTGTATTTACTCTCGCAGTGGTCGATTCTGGTAATAGATGTCGCTTTGTGCCGGACATACTGGTAACGACGGATTTGTAGTACTATGCAGTGTCGACTTCAAAAATATGCATAAGCTGGTGTAACTAACCCTTGCAACGTAACGCTATCTGCTGCTACCCCTTAAAATAAATCAAGGATTTTAAATGCATCAACGTCACGGATGCAATAAGATCCGACGGCCGTATTTTCTAGAAGCGTAATGGAGAAATATATATCAAACCTAATACATATAGTATGCCTCGGCTTGTACCCCAATGTGATTTTGCCGGTACACACCCAACGCTCATGCATGCATTCCAATGAAATCTTTTGCGATGTTTGACGGTGACTCGCAGAGAGCTCTGAACAACTGATAGTTCAGGTACATTAGTGTAGTGTGATAGCAATTTGCAAAGGTCATGAATTCGCGTACTAATCCAATAGTCATTTTTTACAGTCATTGTAGAAGTGCCTTAAATGATTTTCTAGATACCTTCTCTGCTTTCTTGTTTGAAGAGAAATATTTTAATTTCTTTAATGTTACGGTGACGCAAATATTGCATACGATTGTAATCACTCTTTTATAAGAATATACACCGCCGAAATTAGTGATTTATTTGTATAGCTGCAGCAGTCAGCGTAACTAAGAAGGAGAGATCGTTAGGACCGGAGGACGGATTTTGTTGAAAAACTTCATTTTCGCACTAGTTTTCGATGTTCTGTCGCAACATATCCGCTATGTTTTAATGGGTCCTAATTTCATTGAAGCTGAATAATGTTTTTTATTTAAGTAATTCCTACATATCAGAAAGGTGTCATTTTGCGGTCAGAAAACATGAACAAGTTTCAGATGTTACATCAATTTTTTGATAGAGATGCTATAAGAAATAGTACATGTGCTGATAACATTTTCAATCCTGCTCAATAGGGCATTCACCATATTTAAAATCTGCATAAACTTGTCATAAAATGATTGGAGCTTTATGCTTTTATGATAATATGACTTAATCAGTTTTAGACTTCCTCTTCCTTATTTGGACTTTGCGCAGCAGGGAGACAATCCTCCGTTATCGATTGTAGAAATAAGAAAGTTCCGTTAGTTACGTAGAATGGCTTATTTGTAAGGTTACATTTTCCTTATTCAGCGCTGTTGCTGAAATTTGTGAAGCTAGATAAGCCTAATATAAATAATTTCACGTTTAAAAAACTGGTAAAAATATAACAGAGATATGAATTTTAAATCACAAAAAAATGAAAGCAAAAAATTGGCAGTGCTCTAAATAAATTGAATTTTCCTGATCTTTGGCAAGCTAGCCTTTATTATAGCTCTGCTGGTTTTGCGGTCACTTGTCTTTCTGTGGTTCTATGATTCTCTCTCTCTTATTTATTTCTCGTCCGGCCTGGACACAAATATTACAGAAACTTTTCTATGAAAAAATTCACTAGGTTTTGAAATTTTTTGGTTAGCTTCACCTTATTTGAAAATGCGGCTGATGGACGAACGGGAATACGTTTATTGCAGAGTTTGATCGATAGTTTCAATCGAAACACCGTGAAAACTATAGAATAAGTTTCACATATTACACTAATTTTTTTATTGTTCATTTTTCCGATACTATAAGGTATAACAATGGCGCATGTTCAGCCTATCGTTGCCATAATGATCAATAGCGCATTACCAAAGAAAACTTGCTATAAAATAATAGATGATGATAATCATTTTTAGGCGTCCGCTGCTTATATTATGACATTGTAGCGTCAAATTTATGAAAAATGTTATATGTTTTAAAAGTGGTAGATGCGCAATATATTAAACAGACCACTTAATATTACACAATATTTTTGAATGCGGTTGAGAGACGAGCGAATACGTTTATTGGAGATTTTTGAGCGATCATTTTAATAGTTTCAGCATCAAAACTACAGGATAAATGTCAGATCTTGCATTAATTTTTGTTTTACTGATACTCTTGGATTAAGAAATGATGCATGTACAACCAGAAGCATGTTTATGTATAACGTTGAGATTTAAAAAAAGGTGAATGTGCTATCTAGTGAATACAAGGTTGTTTGTTAATATTGTGCTTTCACCTTATTTTAAGATAGAGTTGGGTGAGCGGAATACGTTTCTTGCCGTTCTTTTGCGGATCGTTTTAATTGACAGTGATTTTTTGTAATGACAGAAATTTCCGAAAATTCGATAAAGTTCATTTTTGTATTCATGAAGAACTTTAGGCGCAATCGCTTAGGCGGTGAGTCTACTAAGCAGTCACCATGAGCGGGTTTGAATCCGGTTCCAAGACAATTTTTCGCTTGGCTATAGATGTTGCAATTGTACGTAGGTAGCAGACGGATCTCTAAGGTAGGATAATAATTTGTGCACATGCACAGATTTTTCCCCATTAGAGTCCGTATAACGTTCTCCCATTTCCCCTGTATCTCTCTATAGTCTCACGGTACTCAGGGGTATTTAAGCATTAGACCTGCGTGGTGGTCTTGTGTATGAAAAACTTTAATTTCGAGCATGCCTTTCATCTAGTGGTACTGAACTATAAAGAATAGATTGAATGTTTAGCTTTATGTTCTATTATTACAAACGGCGGAGACATCACATTATATCCCTCCTTTATATTCTTGCGGCGTACGTTGTTCTGAGAGCACGGCATTTCTTTTTCTGCAAAAGATACGCATACCGCCTTCTCTAAAGCGAATGTGATGTGTTTTTTGTTTTTGTGCAGTTTAGGGGAGACTACAGCTTCTATTATGTTTGTGCTCTATGAGAGCATGCACGTAAGACTTTTGCGGAAAATCAGGAAAATAATGCACTCTGCCTTTCGCCGTATCTACCATGAGAAAGGTGAAACAGCAGGTAATAGGGTAAACAAAATTGCTTAGGATGATTATTTTCTATCAATAATATTTAAGGTATTTAAAAAAATGCCTGTCGAACTATGAGATGACAGATTGGCATTAAGATGTCTTGAGTTGATTGAAAGTCCTAAAAACCGTGTTAATACAGGGTGGCCGATATGTAACTGACTCGTTTGTATCTTGAATATTTGTGAAATGAGATAAAATACGTCCATTTTTTTTCATCTTAATATTTTATTGAAGCTTAAAACTTTTATGTGCAAAAAAAATATCAGACAAATGTCCGCCTGTAGAAGCCACGCAAACCTGAGTCCTCTCCATTACATTTTTCATCACTTTTTGGTAAGCTACGGGAGGAATATTTTTAATCGCTTTCGTCAGTATTTGGTATGTTTCAAAAGTCAGGAGCCGTTAAATCCGGTGACCTTAGTGGCCAATTGACATCACCAAATTGAGAAATTAAACGTCCCGGAAATATTGTTCGCAAAAGTT